ACGCTGTCGAACTATGCAGAATAACGCAACCCTAGAATATAACAAACTTCGTTAACCTGTTCTACACTGTTTCTTTCAGCTCTACATGACGACAAACAAAAGTTACTCAAGAATACAAGACAGAAGAAGTGGAACAAAATACCAGGTGAGTGCCCAACCATCCTTATTATACGCAATATTGTAAATAATCACGATAGTTAGGCAATGTTCGCATCTCTATAGTACTTCTTTCACGATAAGCTGTGTGAGTTTTGAAAAGTACCATGCTTTCGAATTCTATGATTAATGATTGCTGGGAAAACAATGTAGCCTGGGTACCAGGCCCCTGTGCCATGATTCAGTTAAATTACATGATAGGACTACTAAAGCATGTGGCATATGTAATTGCGAACGAGAAAAACACAGGCAGATATTATGTAAATTAAGATTTAATTTGCATAATTAATGAGAAATTCAGCAATGTTAAAAAACTGTTAATTTCGTTCTACAGATCTCGCCTAAATGACACATTTTCAACCGACAACTTATGCACCTGGACCACTACATGTCGTTGCCATAATTGTTTAGTGATTTGATTACTCTTTTTAATTGTTGCTTGTTTGTTTGTTTGTTTGTTTGTTTGTTTGTTTGTTTGTTTGTTTTGTGTCTATGTTTCTAGAGGAGTCGGCCTAGTAGAGGAACTCTATGTTCCTGTTGCCGGCTCCTCTCAGAATTTTAATTTCTGTGAAGTTGATTAAATAAATAAAATAAATGTTGTAATTCAGCAATGGTAACTGCCTGGAATTTCATACCTAGGGCATTTGAAAGTTAGGTGAAGGTAAACATCATTAAATCACATGACTTATTCAAATATGGACCTCATTTGCTTTTCTCTTTTTGTGTCCACAGGTAAATTTTCGCCATGTCTCACCCTGAGATGCAGACTGCAGCAGGGATTCACTGGCAAGCACGAAGCCCAGTCAAGGAAGGATCGGGGTGTGCATTCATGTTTTGCACGCAAGAAGATTGAAAAACAAGCATTGAATGCAGCAGCATCGTGAAAGCAAAAGAAAAAAAATATGAATTAAAAAAAAGCAAGACTGA